ATGTTCATGTGAATTTCAGCACATGAACACGTACACACACAATTCAATATGTGAACTCATGAGTCATAATCTCACTGAGAACCTTCCAGGGACCAGTCAGGAACCCCTATGTTAGACTAATCTTGAGGAAGTCTACCTAGTGCTCAAGGGTTAGATTCCTATGAAGAAGAAACTGAAAATAAAGTATCTGTGGACAGGTTTTATGGCGCCCACCTGTAAACCCAGCAACTCAGGAGGCTAAGGCAGGAGAACTGCAAATATGAGGCCAGTCTCAGCAACTTAGCAAGACCCAGTCTCAAAATAGAAAAAAAAGAAAAGAAAAAGGGTGGTGGGGGGGGGGGTGGTGGTGAGATATAGCTCAGTGGTAAAGCACCTGGCTTCAATGCACAGTACCTCCCCCAATTCTCTGTATATCAAAAAAAAAAACTCCTCTAAACTTGGAAATGTTCTTATTTAATAATGAGCAACATTTCTACCACAGCCAAGAAAATAACTTGTCAACAGCCCACCTAACTTTATTGTTTTATTTGTTTGTGATTTTTCTTATCTATAAATCTCAAAAAACTGAGATCCACTGATTTAGGGATCTTTATGCAATTAGAATGCTTTTTGAGAAACTAACTTGAATCAAAGAAGTTAAGCACCCCCCCTCAAAAAAAAACAGAACTGAAATATTTCTGAATTTCCCTAAAAGTAATCCACAAAACAACTCAAAGGCTGCAGGTCTCAGGAATTGATTTGTTAAAAGCACTTTACATTTGACATTTGCATTATTACTAATTGCCCTCTTCCAATGTGTTGATATTTCCTGCTTTTGAAGAGGCCCTTAGAGACTTAGTCTACAAACATTCACAGTCCCTAATTTGTAGAAGGCACTCTCTTAGGTGCCTGGGACCACACTGTTTCTTGCCTTCATGTTTAAGGTCAAAAGCTACCTGCCAATTTGTGGACATCCCCATCCATAAGAAAGGACACCTCCTGTGGGGCTGTGCTCTCTTAGCATTGCCTAAACACTTCCCCATATGTGATTATTTGTTTGTCTTCCTCACTTTGGTGAATTCCTCCAAAACGAACACTATCAATGCCATATTTCTAGCATGGGGCACATACACCTGGGGATCAGTATAACTTAGTGGAATAAATACACTTAAAATATATGTGTGGGGCTGGAGATGTGGCTCAGCGGTAGCGCGCTCGCCTGGCATGCGTGCGGCCCGGGTTCGATCCTCAGCACCACATACAAACAAAGATGTTGTGTCCGCCAAGAACTAAAAAAAATAAATATTAAAAAAAAAAATTCTCTCTCTCTCTCTCTCTCTCCTCTCTCACTCTCTCTTAAAAAAAAAATATATATATATATATGTGTTTCCACATACTCACTCCAACCAATCCTTTCCTCCAATCTCTTCTTAACAGTCAGGATGACTTTTTACTATTCCACATGTCATTCATCCGGCTAATTAAAGCCCCCATTGCCCTTAAAATAAAGACAAAAATTTACCTGTAGCTCAGAAAACCTCCACTCTACAGCCTCTGTCCACCTCTCCAATCTCATTCTTCCTCATTTTGGTCTCTGTCCCCTTGCTCACCACTATTCCTTTGTACTTTGACCATGAAGTTCCTTCTGCCAGAAATGCTCTTCACTCCATTCTAAGCACCTCTCATGGTCATTCTGAATTACTTCCACTCCCTTTTTAAGTGTTTGGAAGTGTCATTTCCAACAGGATACCATCCCCGGTTGCCCCAGACAAGAGGAACACCATCTTAGCACACATTCTCCTTTGGAAGAAACATTTATCACACCTACAATTGTTCAAGGATTGTCTCTCTTGTTAGAATACAAGCTCTATAAGGACAAGAGAAGCATTTATTTTCACATTTCATTTCACATTGTGTTGACACAGAATAGCTGCTTAACTACTATGCTGTCAGTATAGTTTGGGGTCAGATCATGGAGGGCTATAACATCAGCCCAAGTAAACCAAACTGCAACGATCATTATCCCTTTGCGAATATGTAAACTAAAAAGAAATGTGTAGTTGGTCAGGGTGCAAGAGACATCCTGAATGACAGCTTGAATCTTCCTATCATAATAGTTGCCTTCAAAGAGACAGCAGTTAGACTTGCCAAGCCTTGAAGAAACACTACTGTTAAGCAAAGTAACACAACTACCACCCTTTTCCTACAAGAGGGCTATAAAATAACAAACTTTCCTCCAATATGGGAAGAAATAACAGGAAGAAAGCTGTTGCACTTCCAAGTACCTTCAAAAAACAAATGGGCAGTTTGGTCCCTGATTGCCCCTTAATAATCAACAAGAAACAACAAGGGGGAAAACAGTCTTCCCATTCCCACCACTTACTGAAGCAGGGATAAGAAAATTAAAAAGTATATCAGTAAGGTAGAAGCTATTTGAAAACTATTCAAAAATTTGCTAACCCATTGGCAGTTTTTGTTTTTCGTTTCTTGGTACTGAGGACTGAACCCAGGAGCACTGTACTGCTGAGCCACACCCCCAGTCCCTTTAATTTTTTTTCAATGGCATTTGGCTAAATTGCCCAGGATGATCTCAAATTTGCAATCCTCCTGCCTCAGCTTCTCAAGTTGGATTATATGTGTGTCCCACCTCACCAGTACATTGGCAGTTCTTCACAGGTGCCAGCAAAAGAAAAAGTGGCATGAACTCAACAGCAACATTTCATTGTCCACAAGCTGCTGGGGCCAGACCATGTCTATTACAGAAACCACAAACCAGGCCAAGGGTCAGGTTAGATGCTGGTCATCTTGCCAAGTACAGATTGCAAGAAAAAAGAATAGCTAAAGCCTCTTCAAAAAGGACTCAATAACTATCCACACAGTCTACATTCACCCTGAGGTTCCTGAGTGAGGGGAAGGAGGATCGGGGAGGGTATTCTGAGGTGAAAAGAGACTTAGAGAAAGAGGTGTGATATATTGAGAATAAAGGGGAAATTCTAAAACAGGGAAAATGTGAAGCACAAATAGGGAAAGAAACAATTTCAAGAGATGTGGGTGGGGTAGGCTAAGAAGGAAGGTATAGAAGAAAAGGGTAGGTTCTCTGCAAGAGCAGAGTAAGCAACAAGAGATGTGGGAAGAGGCAAAGGCAGACTGTTGGATCTTTTCCCTATTCCAAAAGCTGCTCATTGCATCCCAATAAATCATTCTACTACAAAGTCCATACAATGGATTGTCTTTGTATTCAGTAACACACAACATTTAACGAAGTATCATCCATCTGCAACTTTCAAGACCAAAGGGTCTTAATGAAAATATGAACAAAATTGGTTCACTACAGCAGAAGACAGCTAGTAATGACTTTCCCCAATCCCTGACTCAGCTGTGAAAAGGTTTAGCATTTTAGAGTTAAGCAAATACTCTGGCATTTCTCCTTCTTTTGACATTCCAAGAGGGGGTGTGGTTGACCCCAGGTCCATTCATTTCCAAGGTTGTAAATCTCTCTGCTAAGACTGGCCCCATCTGTTCTAGAGTCTGCCAGCTGTTTATCTCAAAGTAACATATTTATTGCACTGATCATCTCTTTACCTCTTAAAAGACAGCCAACATCATACAAGCTCTGTATGCTTTTATTCCCCTATTAAATGTGTTAGTTTGTTTAAAAACAACCACTACCATCAAACTGAGCACAACACCACTATGCTCCTTGGCTTCCCTGGCCATGATCACTCTTCCTATCAGCAATGGCAAATGAAGGTTGATAACACTAACTTTCCCTTTCCCTAACGTGTTAAAATAAACCCGGGTTTCCCTAATCGATCCCGTCTGCAAACCGTTATTTGTGAGTGGTGACTGTGCCTCGGGAAACAGCAGCTCATTATGGTACCATTGTCAGTGGCAAGGAGCCTATTGCAATGTAATTTAAAACACTCACACAAGCACAAATCTGTCGGCTCCACTTCCAAACAATCCCGAATCCTGCAGTCAGGAGAACGGAGAACACTTTAAAATGCTGCTTCCAGCAGCCTAACAGAACCTTCCTCAGACACGTGAAATGTTTCTGACTAGCACGGAGTGCACCATTAAAGGACACTGTCACCTCAAATCAGCAGAAAAGGAGAGACAAACGGCATAGGCATACACACATAAAATAAAGCCCTACGAAACTTAAGCTGCTCAAAAAGAAACATACACCTCTTTAAAATGAATAGCGTGTGCTCGTCCAAGCGACATATAAATGTTCTAAAGTAGTGCGACCACATTAAATCACTGTCTCCATTTCTCCCCACGCATCACCCCTTCCCACTCAAACCTCAGCACTCGGGCTGTGACAGGACTGCAGTCCCCCACCTCTGCCCTCCTCTGATTTTCCAAGAGCACTTCCCAACATCCTTCCCAGCCCAGCCCCCTCTGCCAGCCTCAAAAGGTTGAGGGGAGTTGCGACGAGGGAATTGGCAGGCACCGGTCCTCTGGCGGGTGTACGTTACTGGAGTTCTTTGCAGTGACCCAAATTGCACAGAGCTTTTCCCTTAGCAGCGCCCGTGAGAACCTCCAATTCCCCCCGCCCCCATCTTCCCAAAAGAAAGCCTTAAGAACTAAGCGGGAGGAATAACTTGGGAGGACCATTTGAATAAATCACTTTAACTCACCTGGTTTGGGATTTTTCTCCCCACCCCAGGCATAAACAGAAATGATGTGCGAAAGAGTCACGCACGCAAGGGAAGGTACTGCGATGTCCTAAGTCCAAGGGCTGGAGTCGGTCCCTGCCCTAGTGCTGCTGCTACTCTGAGCTCAGCTGGAGCGAGCGGCAATCGCAAGCCCAGCAGCAGTAGGGGGGTGGATAGACCGTAGCACAATGAATGCAGTGGGGTTTTTGCAATGACATCATCCCTCTGTCCAAAGCGGCCCCAATAGCCATGCTCGGGAGAGGTGCATTCTGGGTATGGTAGTCTTCTTGCGTCCGGGAGAGACACCGAGTCTACCTCCGGAACTACAATGCCCAAAATGCGCCAAGGTCGGACGCGCCCGAGCGAGGGAGCGGAGGCGACTCGGCCGCCATGTTAGGAGTGCCGGGAGGACTCCACGGACCGGCGCGGAGGTTCAGGGAGCGCGGGATCCGAGTGGTGGTGCGGTGGGGACGGTGAGGTGGAGAGTAAGCCGATGGGAGAACCTTGGGCCCCGATCCGGTGGGGAGCCGGGTGGAAGCCGCCCTGGGGACTGATGTCCTGCGGGTCCAACTGGGGGTGGCATCTTTATGGAGGCCGAGTGAGCCTCCGCCTCACGGTCCTGCAGGGTTGCATGGAGCCCCACGCCTCCCGCCCCATTTTCTAAGGGATTGAGGGAGTTGTTTTACTTCTGGGAGTGGAGGCTCCCTTAGACTGGCTAGCAGGACCGTCGCGGTGGATGCCTCTGCTGAGGTGCTGGCGGCGACCCGCGCGCCTTTAGATGGAGAAGCCGGCTTCCACCCAAGGAGTTGGGAGAAACTTTGTCCTTATTTGTGTCTTCTTGCTATTTATTTGCAACAATCATGCCCCCTCTACTAGGTTTGGGCCTTCACTTATTTCTCATACGGAAGTGATTTGCAAAGGTCTTAAAAGAAACCGTTATTGGAAGGTACGGGATAGAAGGGAACATTGCTTTGGCCTTGAAGATGAGAAAAAAACATGGAGCAGCCTAAAGGAGAAACACCCAGTTGAACGACAACTCACTGACTGGAGAAAGCAGGGAGGTTGAAAGGGCATATTATTTATAGGCTTACCGAGGGCGGGTGAACTGATCCGGAGTAACACTGGTTCTTGGATAAACGAAGTGGATGCTAAGTTGATTAACATGGATTGCCGGTTTATTTTAAAAATTCATTTACTATGTGGTATTCCATACGTATGACTGCTTTAAGAACTTTTAAGTCATTTTGCCCAGTCTCTTAAATGAACTGTATTTTTTTTCCCAATTGTGTTACTAAAACAGAATTGTATGTTTGTTCTTTTCCAGAGTCTGTCTACACTATGGAAAGATGGGAAATTTCATTTCCTGCTGAGGGTGTCTCAAGGGTTAAAGAAAATGCTGTTATCTGTGCTTCCCCCACCCACTTCTCCCTTTTGCACTTTATTCTGAGAACAGAATTAACTGTGGCTTTGGGGGGTTAGTGGAGGTATGCACTATATCTCTATTAGGACGTAATAAAATTAGAGCAGATAGTTTCTCCTATTAAAAAAAAAAAGGCTAGTCAGAGTGATTTAAAATGACCAAAACAGGCAGAAACAGTCTTTCACGTGTATGCAGATGATAACTGTAAAAACAGAATTTGAAAGACTCAACATATGTCATGTTCCTGGGAACAAGCCACAAGATAAGTCACTTTGTTTCATTCTTACACAAAGGTAAATTGTTGGTGTCATTTATCCATGAATACAACCATGTACAAGGCTCATACAAATAGTATGTTATTCAGAAACACTTTTGCAAATACTGATGGTAAGTAGTTGGAAAGAAGCAAATGCTTACTTTTTTTTTTCTGACCTCTAGAAATGTTTTAAGCTAATAAATCTTGTGCATTTTATAAGACAGTTATGTAAGCAACAGCCTTAGTTTGAGTTACTGTGAAAGGCCAGTATATAGTGGGGAAAGGAACAGAATGCTCAAAAATCTTATGTGTGAAAAATAAGAGTGATATCTTTTTAAGTTTAAAGTTGTTCATCTGAACATCTGGCCATACATGAAACGAATGTATTTAGTATCCTTAAAATTGTCCATGATTTAATTATTTTTTTTTCTTTTAAACTTTTTTTTTTTTCAGTTGTAGTTGGACATAGTGCCTTTATTTTATTTATTGCTATGTGATGCTAAGGATCGAATCCAGCGCCTCGCACATGCTAGGTAGCACTCCACTGCTGAGCCACAATCCCAGCCCCTCCATGATGTAATTCTTACTTTGATGGGGGGGGGAAATTCCACACTCCTCTTTAGAAATTTGATTTACAAATTAATATCTGTGGGTCTGTGATGCTAGCTTCTGAAAGAATAGCCTGAGGAAAACATTGAATTAGAAAAACATTTTAAAATTTGAATTAGGAAAGAGATAAACTACATTCAAGTATCATAGGTAGCACATTTAAGAGTATTGAGTCAGTTGCATTTAGAGCAGAGGTTTTTTTCAACAAGGATAAGTGTCAGGATTGCCTATAAAAATCTAAAAATATATTACTACTGCCCATCCATCCCTGTTGAATTGGAACCAACTATTGAGTATTTTTAGAACTTTATAAGTGTGACTACAGGGCTTGGGTGGAGTAGTCTTCTGCATCCTGTATTTGTGTTTTTGTATTATCTAAAGCAAGGAATAACAAAAAGATTTTGGCAAAAACTAGTTAATTGCTGATTTAATCCATGTGATTTCTGAAAGTGTAGATGAGGGATTCACCTGGTGATCAACTAAAACATGACATTTGGGAAGCAAATGCAGTTGAAATTGAGGAGAAGAAATCAATGTTAACCTTAAAAGTACTGCCATATCATCACTTACCTAGATGTTTCTGAGAGTGAAGGTTTAGCCTAATCCTAACAAAGCCTAATAATAAGAGACACCCAGTAATAGCACAATGCCAGTAAGAGCTCATTGCCCTGATAAAATCATGGTAGTTAGAGGCAACGTGATATTTTGGTTTGGGGAATTTTCTGGAAATAACAACCCTTTGCCCTAAATCTAGAATATTTTAGATTATTGATATTGTAACGTTCTTGATGTTTCAGTGTCTAAAGTCATATAGGCCCCTTTTTAGAAATGAGAAATCTTACAGATCGTCTAAGACGTGTTCTACAAAAGAGGAAATGGACACAGTAAATTTTAAAATTACTATTGGTCACACTGCACACTAGTGGTAAGAAGCATAGCTAAAGGTGAAATCCAGTTCCTTCTATCTTTTTTTTTTTAGAGAGAGAATTTTTAATATTTATTTTTTAGTTCTCAGCAGACACAACATCTTGGTTGGTATGTGGTGCTGAGGATCGAACCCGGGCCTCACGCATGCCAGGCAAGCGCGCTACCGCTTGAGCCACATCCCCAGCCCCAGTTCCTTCTATCTTTAGTGCTATGCGCATTTTTTTAAGCTCCAGATTTTTTCCCCTATGATACTCTAGGGTTTATACATTTCAGTATATATTTGATTTTAGTGTTGGAATCTCAGACAATTTAAAAAATAGTAAAACAAAAGAAACATTTATTTTTTAGGTTTGTTGTATTGTGATGGGGTCTTGTTATGTTCCATGCTGACCTGGAACTTCTGGGTTCCAGCCAAGCTATCCTCCCACTTCAATGTCCTGGGAATACAGACATGTTCCTGGTGCCTGGCTTCTGCAAATTCTTTGGTTCACTGAATTTATCTACAATCTTTACATTCATAGTCCAGTTACATTCTTTTCATCCATATTTGCTGATGATTAAGATAAGACCTAAGAGAATAAGCAGTTTAAATTAATCACAGGATTTAAACTTTAATACATCTTTAGAGGGGGGAGGTACACTTGGAGATACCATTAGCCTGAATTCCTACTGTTTTAGTTTGAAGTCCATTTTTTTATTTTTAGTTGTAGATAGACAACAATACTTTTGTTGGGGAGGGGGTTAATTTTTTTTTTTTTTAGATGTTGATGGACCTTTATTTTAATGTGGTGCTGAAAATTGAACCCAGTGCCTCACACATGCTAGGCAGGCACTCTACCCATGTGGTGCTGAGGATCAAACCCAGTCCCTTTCATGTGCTAGGCAAGTGCTCTACCACTGAGCTATAGCCCCAGCCCTTGAAGTCCATTTATAACATTCTAGGGCTGGATTTGTGGCACAGTGGTAGAGCACTCGCCTTGCACAGGTGAGGTACTAGGTTCAATCCTCAGCACCACATAAAAATAAATTTTTAAAAATTTCTATAAGAAAGCCTTGACGATAGATAATAGCAGGGGTGTTGATGAAAGTTCAGTGAAATAGGACTGGAGTTGTAGCTCGGTGGTAATACGCTTACCTAGCATATGTGAGACACTGGGTTTGATTCTCGGCACCATATATAAATAAAGATCCATTAACAACTAAAAAAATATAAAAAGAAGAAACTTAAGTGAAATAATCTGTGAAGCATTTAGAAGTCCAGAATGTGGTAAAGTTTATTGTGGATTTTAAGTTATTAAAAAGTAGTTTGAACCCCAAAGATAAGGATTACTTTCAAAGATTCTTTTAATATAAGTCAAATTTGTATGACAAGTTCACATTAAAATATAGCCCCATTTCTTCCTTTGATATAATGACAATATAGGGCAACAATCTTTTAGCCTATAACATAAGAAATGTGACATGCCTATTGCCGGGTTGCGTTACTATGTAACTATGGTTATGCCTGGGATGGCTTAACTTTAAGAAAATTACATAATGATTTTCCAGTTTACCTGGACAGTTTGAAAAGCCTCACAATTGATTATGAAAATCAGACCCTATCTTTACTGAAAATCAGTAGTTAATTCCCTAAAAGAATAGTTAGAATGCCTAAATTTATAAAAAAGTATTAGAATTACTTTGTACCTTACCAAGTTTTGAAATAATCCTTTTCATATTCTGACCTATGAAGTTTGGAAAACCTGCCATCTGCTATGTTGCCTACCCTTCCATTTCAGCAATTGTCTTACTAATTCCAGAAATGCAGTGCCAATAACCTAAAGGTGATAACAGGCCCAGCAGTTACATTAAAACTTACTCTAACCAACAAAGTAATCAAGACAATAAGCAAACATAAAGGGAGAAAATAAAAATACTACAAAAATGTCTTTTCAGACTTCCCCTTAGATTTGAGTTAAAGGTTTTCAGCCAATATTTTCATAATTAGTTACAGATAAGCCTGCCATTTAGGTTTAATAACTAGAGTTTCTCCAGGGAAGATCTTTAATTCTGAACAGGAAGAAAAAAAATTTCCCCCTTGGTATGGGGGATTGAACCTGAAGTCTACCACTGAGCTTCATCCCTACCCCCCTTTTTAAGTTTTTTTTTTTTTTTTTTTTTTTTGAGGCACTGTCTCACTAGATTTCCCAGGGTGATCTTGAACTTGCAATTCTACCTCAGAATCTTAAGTTGTTGATACTACAGGAATGGAGTGCCACACCCAACAAGAAAAAAGTTATATTAAGAAGACAGAAGAGTATGTTTTCTACTCTTGGGTAACCCAACCATTGTGTATATAATGGATTGACAAGTTTAGCTGCTGGGTTTAATGTACCACTGAAGATTAATGTTCCAACAGCAAGATTTGAGGTTCACATATCCATAGTTAATGATTAACCAGAAAAGGTGAGCTGTCTTTATTCTATGATTTTTGTTCTCAGTTTTTAGCAGATTTGGGTAATAAGGGAGCCCCAGAAAACATTTCTTTGAGTACATACAGTTGAAGCTATCAATGTAAGTATGTTTTATGAACAGCCATTTTAGGAAATTCAAACATGCAGAGATGCTCAAATTGAAGTAAGTAGATACATAGTCATAAGTCAATTTTTTAGCAAATCTTTGAGGGTGCTCTCTACATGAACTTGCTGTTAAGGTTAATCCTTTTAGTTGTATCTTAAAAACTTTTATAAATGGCTTTCTTGAGATGAAATTCCTCTGTCCACCCATTTAATGTGTGCAATCCACTGGGTGTTAAATTTGTTCATGGAGTTGTGCAACCATTACTACAAACTTATGTGTCTTTCTTGCCTTCCAGTCCCATGGACGTCTCTCTTCAGTGTTCATGTTTGGGTGTCTTTTCTAAAATTGTTCTGCTTTTTCATTTTGTTTTTCTTCTGGGGTCTTCACAACCACTGTTAGAGAAAATAGTTGTATCCATTTGACTAGGAAGTTTGACTTAATCAGGACTTGTCTGTTCCTGCTTAGGTACTTTTTTTTTTTTTTTTTGGTACCAGAGATTAAACCCCAGAGGTGCTTAACCTCTGGCCCACTTCCTCATCCTCAGCCCTTTTTAGAGACATGGCCTCACTAAATTTTTGAGGCTGACTTTGAACTTGTGATCCACCTGCCTCAGCCTCCTGAGCCACTGGGATTACAGGCATGTGCCACCATGCCCGGTTCAGCTACACTTATGAACCCTTTTACTTAGGGGAGTAGATATCTGATATAGATGAAGAAAAATGCATATGGAGAAAAGCAATTGATAAGGTAACAAAGCCCTCCTCAAAAAGTAGGGAATCAGTGCTAGGGATATACCTCAGTTGGTATAGTGCTTGCCTTGCATGCACAGGCCCTAGATTCAGTTCCTAGCACCACCCAAAAAAGTCAATTCTAACATAATTAAGAATTAACTTTTCCACTATTTGAAGTCAGTCTCACCCCATTATTTTCTCTTAAGAGATTTAACTGGCAAAATAAACAGGAGTCAGCAAAAGAAGGGAGCAGCTTAGACAAGTTCAATATAATTTTAAAAATATATTAAAGGACATTGCTTGTTAACTAGATCCTGGCAGTGTAACCCAGTATGTTCAAATATGACTTCTCAGGAGATACACACAAGGAGGAATCCACTGGAGACTTGAAAATGTTTGCCAGTTGAATTGTTCTCTGCTGTAAAATAAGACATTTTGAACTACAATGAAAGCTGCAAGATCTCATATATCTGGAGTAAATTCCCAGATCTCAAAAATTTAAGCTAAAGCCTAACTTTGTCCAGGCTAGCATCTATTCCTGACAAATTTAAAACTGAATCCAGCAGCCCTACCAT